ATAGACCTGGTTTGAGTGTGTTTGCCCTGTGATGTCCATTCATGGTGTACCCTCCCTTGCACCCATTGGTACTTGGGATAGGCTCCAGCTCGTGACCCTGAATTGGATAAAGCAGTTAGAAAATGGATGGATTACAATAAATGAAGAAATACAACACATAATTGTTCAGTTAACTATCACCTGAAAATGAACTGATTTTTGACTCGGCGATTTATGAATTTCTGGATCGAATTATTGTTAGCTGTATACAATACTTAAATGTAGAAATGCAAGAAACCACAGCAGAGCTCACTGAAGTTTTGAAATGAGTTTATTAATGGGCAGGCCTTTTTTCCGAAGAGCAAAAACTGGGATACAAATTTAGGGATGACAAGGCATAACACCATCCCACTGTGAAGAACAGAGAGAACCCGATCTAACGAGGGTCACAGCAGTAATTACTGCCAAAACTGCTTTAACTCAGTACTGACTTTGGGTTATCTGTACTTAACAATGAGGACATTTCAATTTATATGCTTCTCAATATTTATAGTTGGTTTGAGTTATTTGGTGTAGTTTAAATATCTGTAAATTATCACTATTGATAGGGATTGAAAACGTTTACACGAAAATGTATACAGGTAGGGCAGCACAGTAGCTAGTGGCAGTGGTTAGCATTGCTGCCTTTCACCACTGGGGTCCTGTGTTTAACTCGACCTGGAGTTCTATCCGCGTGGAGTCTGTACGTTCTCCCCGTGTTCACGTGGGTTTTCAACCTGGTGCTCCGGTTTCCTCCCACAGTCCAAGGACACACTTGTAGGTTAATTGCCTTCTGGGAAAAGTGGCCGCGGTGTGTGTGTGTGCATGTCTGTGCTGTGTGTTTGGCCTGCAATGGACTGGAGTGCAGGGTTTACCCTGCCTTGCCGCCCACTGCTTGCCAGTATGTTCCAGCTCTCCCCCATGTCCCTGCAATGATAGAAGCAGTTTGAAAATGGATGGATCAGTATAAGCTAAATACAAGGTTTTACAAGACGAAATGTGTAAAAGGCTAAACTGTTATATCTTATTTATGTATATATAATTTTAATAAGAAATCAGCGACACACAAATACCTTTTAAGCTCAGCTTTATTGCAGTATAAAATATAAAAAAGATAGAGTAAGGATTTATCACACCACAAAATATTTTGCAGAGCTCTTTAACCTCAATTACCTGCAATGCTATAATAAATATGCACCACAAACAAAATAGAATAGAACACTTGACAAAATCGTGTTTAATGAAATATGTCTAAGAAATGTTATACAACGTAATGCAAGTTAACCATTTTATACTGTGCTTACATTGCTGAAACCCATATCCCTCTACATAGGTTAAGCAGACAGTATTGAAAGTACAATATGCTGAACTAAAACACACATCTGTAGGTCAGTTCATGTTCACTTATTCTAGTGCCTTAGAATCTTTTATATTAGTAACCTGAAATTACAGTATGTTGTGTGCAATATGCTTTACTGACGTAAACATCAGAAAAGTAGAAAAATACCAGCATTACAGATTTATCACAAGATAAAGACAAAGTGTTTTTCAGGGAGGAAAGACAAAAATATAGCAATCTTCTTTAATACTTCTACTATACATCATTCTGCTGATGAATCTGAATATTAGGGTAAAGTGTCCATAAACAATAATAGCCTAAATTGAGACCAGTGCTTTACACAGCTTTGCAAGTACTGCACAAATTATGAACAAACAGTAGAAAACAGTCAATCTGTAATACAATTCCATCTGTTTTCATTCACCGGTATACAACCCTGTAAAAAAGCAGAAATCTTTCAGTTAACATGAGGTTTCTGAGGAGTCTCCATGAAACCGATAAAATACTCCGTACTACAAACATACTTTTAAAAGAAGCGCACAACTAAAATGATCATAAATGAAAAAAAGATGGGAAGGTTATCAAAGTATTATTTTCCAATCAAACATGATGTTGGCACACAACAGTGCCTCTTTGCTTTTTTTTCTTGTTGTCAGTGCATCTCAAGGCGAACAAAATAAGGACGTCTTAAATTTTCAAGCATCTTAAATCATTTCTGCCTGGTTTCTCAGACTTCGATTAGCCCCAACCCTAGTCCAACGCACCTAAATTGTCATTAGGGTAATCCACAGTTAGAGCTGAGAAGGTTTAGTGAAACCAGCCCTTGAAAAGTTACAGTTTAACAGTCATTATCCTACTAATTTAGCACTTGAGGAACAATTTCACACAGTACAGCTTTACACACTGCTGGATAGCTGATATTGTATAACATGACTAGGGTGATAGATGACGACACTAAAGTAAATATGTTCTATCTGGTCAATGGGAAGGTCATGATTGTCACCTGTTTAAACTACTATTCACAAAAGGGTTACTGTATTTTCATAAATTTGGGTTTGCTGTTAATCCTAATTCAGTTATTAATTTCCCAGTATCTTACTGCTTTACAGTATGTAATAAGCCAAAAAAACTTTTTCATTATGCAGATTTTTCATTAAATACATATGCCTCATCGTTTTAATTTTAAGTCACTTTCAAGGAAGTGTACTGTAAATGTCTAGAGGAAAATATCGCTGTTCTATTATATATAGAATATGATATATTAGAACTATAAAATATAAGAATACAATCAGTATGTTTTCAAATGGGTAAGTTTTATTTTGTTTTAAACCTTATATATTTTAAAACAGGTTGAATCAATGCATTTAACATGAATATTTCTGAATTGCACCGGGAAAATAATGGGAGAGTTTATTTGCCTTATAAATAATGTAAATATGAAGTATTTCATATGTTAAACATTCCAAAGACATTGTGGTAGATGAACTGGCTTCAGAGAGAATTGGCCTTATTTGTGAGTGGTGTGTTCGTGTCCGTGTCTGTCCTGCGACGGACTGGCGTCTCATCTGGGGTGTACTCTGCCTTGAGCAGGCTGCTTGCCGAGACTACAGCTCTCCTGCAACCCTAAATTGGAAGAAGCAGTTAGAAAATGGATGGATATATTGAATATCATGAGATACTGGTTTACTCACCCATCCACTTGACCCTTAGTAGGTCCTGGTGAATATGAGTTTAATGAGAGTTGTTCAATTAGTAGAATTCTGACTTGCACTCCTTGACTTAAATCTTACAGGGTATTTGGGTATTTTCGGTGTGACACTTGCTGAATACTGGGGTGAGCACAATCTTTGTGGGTTTCCAAAAGGAGTACCTTCCTATTGTGTGCACAGATTGGTCTATCAAGCAGCCAGATCTTTCAGGTCCTTACCCAGCTCAAACTCAAATCATTCTTGCAGGCAATGGGGACAATGAGCAAATGGAAGAAATCTTCTCAGTGTTAACAACAGAATGGGGGCAAAACTTCCCCATATGTACTTATGTTTACTAGGAATGTGGTCATTTTTGGTTTTTCTTTGATTGTGAAGGAAAGGCACCTTACGAAAGACACTGATGGTTTACGCCAACTTGTTTAAGATAACTCAGATAAAAGCTGGCAGCACAAGACCCCAAATCATACGTGATTTATGATTCTTATAAAAAGGGGAAAAGATCTTTAAAAGATCTTTAAAATTTGGAAGAAAGCAGAAACAGAGTCCTGAATCTTGACCAATCAAGACGTCATGCCCTCTGTTAATGGGCCACACATTCCCTTATGGTAATGGCAATAGGAAAGCATCACAGAACAGCATCCTCACCACAGACCAAGAGACTGCGATGCAAAATCAACCAATCTGCTGCTAAAGCAAGCACAGGATGCTGTTAGCGTTCATTCATTTTTTGGGTGTTTCCTCAATAAGTTTGCTTTTCCGGTACTTCTGTCCTATTCCATACGGCACATGTGCGGCGATGGTCCCCAGCTCCTGGGCGCCCTCGATGTGGAACATCTGGTCGTCGAAGAAAATGTGGGGGCGGATTTTCTGCAGCAGCGGACCCTTCGGGGCCCCGGCGAGGAAGAGGGCCTCATCGATCTCCAGGCCCCAGCTCCTCAGGGTCTTCAGTACCCGGGCCCCCGAGCTGGCCGCGCTCCGTGCGGTCACCAGGTAGGTCCGGATGGGGCAGTTCATTCGTTCGTTCTTCTCGTAAAACTTGCGCTGAAGCTTTCCCAGTGCTTCCAGAAAACATTTCAGAGGACCCTAAAAAAATAATGAAATACATTCCCTTAACAACAGTTCAGCCTTGTTGTGACACACCTTGTGTTCCTGCAACTGTGTTTATAACTCAATATACTTATACAGCAGCTTAGAGGTGGAAGAATATTTAAGTAATGGAGACGCTACATTTGTTAGGTTAGCAGTCCTGAGATTAAGTACTGGATGTGTGACTTAAAATACTTTTTTGCACACCAAACTTCCATTCACCGCCAATTGGAAATGAGAAATTATTTCTGTGACTCCAACTGGCAAAGTGTCCAATTGGTCCTACCAGTAATATGCAATTGGTAAACATCAGAATGTTTACAAATGAGAGGAGGCCCTTTAATCTAACTGGTGATAAGATTTTGAGCCACTGTTTTTGGAAATAAACTAGAGTTTTGGCTTCAACATTCTGGCTGGTCAGCTTGTTTCAGATTCTCTCACTCCTTTGCATTAAGACCTTAGTGGGTTTAAATTCAGAATTAATCTGAGCCCCTCCCCCCTGGCCTTCATCTGAAATAAGGGAGTCACCTGTGCAAGGGGCTTGTTCTCAAAAGCCTTCTCGTGCTCAAAGAAAGAGTCCAGTCCGTGCTCCTTTACAATCTTCTCTGATTCGTCAGAGAACAGAACTGCGTCTCCATCAAAGGCCACCCGCAGCTGGGTGTCACACAGCTGGACCTCTTTCTCAGGAGTGAACATTGTAGCAGCGGCGATGCCTAAAACACAACACAGTCATCGGTCACTTTCAGACCAAAGCGCATCCAGTGACAGCTTCAATCCCCGAGGGCTCGCAGGAGATGCAGTGTTCACAGCAGCTGCCTTCAATCCCTTCTGGAATGTAAACTTCATCTCCGATCATTTCCAACCTGAATCACAGTATGCCAAACGGAAGGAGGAGCAGTACGTGGACTTCTCACATGTCATCTGAGTTTATTCCTTCTGCTCTGCAGTCTGATGTGCAAAACAATTCAGCAATTAACCTGAAATATCTTTTATTAGCACACTCAATACTGTCCCCAAAAAACAGTCCCTTCAATTAAAGTTTTAAAGACCTCATCGGATCTTTTCAACAATCCCTGTCCTTCTATTAATAGATATTACTATTACTAATTTATTTGCCTGTTATTTTTATCCAAACCAACTTATATTTTGGCCTATCTATACAGGGTATTTTACCAGACCAATTCAGGTGGAAGTTCAGTACCTTTCTCAAGGATAAAACAGCAATGTCTTATCTGGGATTCGACCCACTTACTTCCAGTTACAAGCCCAGAACACTAACCACTGCTTCACACTGCTGCCTATACCGTCCTGGGGGATGTACATGGAAACATATATTAAAAGGGTAGTTTATTCAATTTTTAGTCTAAATTCCTTACACTTATATAGGGCTTTTCTGGACATTCCGCTCAAAGTACCTTACAGGTAACAGACATTTCCCACCACCCCCAATGTGCAGCATCCACCTGGATGATGCGACGACAGCCATAGTCCGCGAGTACACTCCCCACACACCAGCTCTCAGTGGGGAGGAGAACAGAGTGATGAAGCCAGTTAATGGCTGGGGATGATTAGGAGTGCATGATTACCAGGTGGATGCTGCACAATAGTGGTGGTGGAGGGGACTCCCCATTACCTGTAAAGTGCTTTGAGTGGAGTGTCCAGAAAAGCGCTATATAGGTGTAAGCAATTATTATTATTATAGTAAAGACCAATGAGAAATTTGGCCAGGATGCTGGGGTAACACCCCTACTCTTTTAAAAAAATGCCCTGGAATTTATTTAAAAAAAATAGATGGATACATGGACAGTGATACTAAGGAGCTACATGTAGAAGGTGACAATGTACTGTGACACATTCTTCAAGGCATTTGGTATTAACTGTCTAGCTTAAAAAGTTAAAATATTTTCTTTAAAATTTAAAAGGCATAGTTGTTGAGTTACCTGTGCACCAGAGATGGGGCTCATTAAATCTGAAATAAACTACTGTATAGGTTGTTAGCTGTGTCTTGTTACAGATGGTTTTGTGTAACCAAGAACACTAAAAAAATATTCTAAGAAGTGAGATCAACTTCAGTACCTGCTTCAATCGCCTCTTGTACTTTCTCCGAGTCCTTCGACAGATAAAGGTTGGTAAGATAAGCCTTCAGGTAACCAATAGGGCTTTTTCCACCAGTCATACAGAACCTTTCAATTGTTAAATCTGAAAGAAAAAATAAAAATGTATACTAATAATCAATAATGACTATTTATTTAACACTTCTTTTTATTTCTTTATTTTACCAGGAAAGTCAAAAACAAACTCTCATATACAATGATGAGCAGAATACTCTAAAACAATCAATTTCAGGACCAGCTGCTCTGGTGTTTAATACCTCTATGGTTGTTATTTTTGTTGAAGTCTAGGCCATCTCTTTGAAACGTGCATCACCCTTAAATTGTTTGTTCAGCATCTTGTAAATCATGTTCTTTCAAGATTCCAGTCCAGAAAGTATAACTAATCAAATATCATACGTACTAAAATGTAGTTATTTAACATAAGAAGGTCAAATTATAATCTCGTACTCTGCTCCCCCAAGTATAAAACTTCCTAACTACAAGTATCTTTTCTAGGTGCTCCACTCCCTTCACCCTTGCAGCACCTCCCTGCTTCATTCCTCCTAAGTGAGGGGCGTTGTGACAGAGCTGATCTTCAGCCATGCAAGTTCAAGCCAAACAATATGAGAATTTCACTGAAAGACTGAAAATACTTTTCTCCTCCTTTCACAAAAGCTACGAGCTTTTTTTTCCTGCAGATGGTACATACCATAATGATTGATGCTGTTGATGAGACGAACCCCAACTTGGGCGTGGTTGTTAGTCATGAGAACAATATCAAACAGCTCTTCGCTACCAGGGTAGAGTTCACGCAACCGCGAATTAACAGTCATTAAAGCCTGTATAAAGAAAGAAAGAAATGCATCCATAATTTAAAGATGTACATAAAAGTCATTATCAACATGTACACAAAGCTCAAAAGGTACAGTGATGCCGCTATTGTCTGACAAGCACATTACCACAGTCCAAAGAAAAGACACGGTCTCAGCTTGTTAAAAGTATATCTCTGAGCTTGACAAGATAAGTCATCTCAGATGATTTGCTTGTAAACCAGCACTAACTAAAACAAAATCTTATCAAGTCTTAAAATCTGAATGAAGTACTGTATGTCTTCAATTATTACACAGCTAATTTGCAGTGGTTTTAATGTGTAATAATAATTATTTTAAATTTTCTTTTGTGTTTAACAAGACGCATATTATTATTGTTTCTGTGTTTTGTATTGTATTAATGGCTCTTGGAGGTATGTTTGTAAAATTCTAGTAATTGTAGTATTAGGATGCTATAACCAGACAGGAATGTAATAGTTTTTATGTCCTGATATGAACCTGGACTACTAAATTTAGATTCTAATGCTGTATTTTCTAAATCAGATAACAATAAATTTTTAATAATTATACCAAGGCGCATACTGTACAACCACTGGTCTGAAAACACATTACAGGAAAATAACACAAAAAGTTTTAATAATTTTCTCATAAAAAATGTAACTACTGTATCTACTTAATAAAGTCTGTATTTTGGAGTCTCACAGTAAAACTTATCCTAAGGAAAGGCTTGACATTTTCTGTCATACAACCACAGTTCTTTGTGAAAAGATGTAACCCCTCTCAGTCTTTAACACCTAATTTTCTTAGTTTTCCTTTGACACTGGTTACTGCATCGAGTTTTAAAGGGGTTTGACCATGTGTACTGACTTTGTGAACGGCAAACAGGACCACAGTTTTTTTCATTTAATTCAATGTAAACCACCAGTGTTTTTATAAATGGTACACTCTTCGTTTTTCACATTCATTTTTAAGGCCAATGTTTTTAGACCAATCCATAAACATCTGCCATTTCAAATGATCCAACATATCTGAGACATCTTCTTTCTGAAATGTTCACTTTGTGTCTTTCACCTTTAATTTGTTATTCAAAACAGGTGGCTGACCTGTAGTTAATACCTTATCTTTGTGTTTTTTGTTATAATACACATAATTCTAACACTATGTCTTGACTTCATAATGATAATGAACACAATTAAGGGTGGGATAACCAGCATTTAAAGTGAACAATTGCTTTATAATATCTCCAGACTGAAGTCGCACACTGAAAAGTGAACTCTCGTGATCTTCCACCTAGTGTCGTGGACTGGGTTTATGGACAGTAAGGTTTTCTGGGTAGGATTTGGGTTAACGAGTTTTTCGTAAGTAGCCGAGATGTCTCGAAATTATTTCCGACTTTCATCAGCGAGAGCCGAGAGTGCGCAACCTGTACAGAAAGTGCTCAGAGCCCCACCTCTCCATTGCGCCCACTTCCTCAGCACACAAGATACTGTATAGTAATATATACCTTCACAAATGGAAAAGCTGCTCCCGGCGTTAGGGGCTCATCTTCGTGCTGCTCTTGATGCTCCACGTATTTTTCTAGCCCTTCTTCTTCGTAGATTTTCCTTTCTTTCACCATATTAAATAATGTTCGTGATGATACTGCGATGGTTACGGCATGCTGGGGTTTGGGCTGCAAACAACACAGATGACAAAAATAAGACAATTTAGTTTCAGTGCAGGGTATTTTTTGTGATGGGTCATCGCCTAAATATCACTCTCGATGGTGCAGAAATGCAAAATACAAAGACATCTTTGCTTAACTTACAGGTCTGGGCTTCTTTGAAGTCGTATTCAAGTTATCATAAAAAGCCTTAGCCGCTGCCCAGTCTTTGTCATCTGCGCTGTTCTCTCCTCCGGCCTCTGGAGCGCCTTTGGGTTTGATATCGCTCATACTTAATTGCGATTAAGTGAACTTTAATACACACGATCACACGAAGCAGCCTGCGCCTTAACTGGCTTACAGTCAGTAATGTACAGAGAAGTACAAGAAGATCGGCTGGCTACCATACAGTGCAAATAACGCGGAAATGAAGTGAAAGGATTCCCGAGAAGGGCGTCCCCTAGTTACCCATGATCCTCAGAGACGCTCTGCCAGTTCAGCAGTAAAAACTCGCCACCGCACGTTACAGCAGATACTGTAGCTGCGAGGATGCAAGTCTTCATTAAAACTTTTTTCACCTTTTTACTGTATAGGTATAGTGGAACACCTTCCTCCATATGTACTGTATAAACCACGACGATGAAAGGTATCCTGAAAGCTATGATCCCAACATAACGTCACTCCTAAATTAGATACGAAGTATAAAACCTACTGTAGTGCTTCATGATTAAACTATACATTAAAAATTGAATTAATTGAATTAGAATTATGTTGATTTCTCATAAAAATACAAATATTTGGACATAAAATATAATAGTATATTGTTTTAAAGTTACAAAGTATTTCCAAAATCAGAGTGAAAAATGATTTATATGCAAACTATCCATCCATCCATTTTCTAACCACTTTATCCAATTCAGGGATGTGGGGAAGCCAGAGCCTATCTTAGCAAGCAACTGGCACAAGGCAACTGGCACCCTGCACAGGACACCAGTCCCTCTCAGTACACACACGGACACATACACACTCACACAGGGACACATTTTTACCTTTGAACCAATGTATCTACCTATTTGAATTGTAAGAAAACCCTTACAAACATGGGGAGAACATACAAATTCCACACAGATAACACCCATGTCAAGAATTGGACCCAGGGACACAGCGGTGAGGCAGCAATGCTAAACACTGTGCTCCTGCATCCCTCCTCCACCACACTCTACCTATAGCTGCCCTTTGTTTAAGCTTGGAGTCCCAGCTTCTCTGTCCTATGGCCAGGGGATTGTCTCTTAACCAGGCAAATTAAGCCAAACCATCTTACAGTTAAAATACTTAATAAATATACACAAAGCATCTGATTCTTGTTGTTATTCCTAGTGAGCCCCTGGTTTGTAGCTGCTCTGGGAATGCCGTAGGTCAAACATTCTTACAATGACATTCTTGCAAACGGTGTTGGCTCTCAGCTTGCTTGCAAACACTTGGGAGAGTTTATATCTTAATGAAGATGAATGAGCACCTTGGTTTTTCATTACAAATAGTGGCTTTTCAGCAGCTGAGGTTTTCTTTTTCATTTATTGTTAGTCTTTGCAAGTTCTTCGTTTGGGGGGTAAAAAAGTATTCCCTTCAGAAGACAAGCATTAACCAGCAGATTTAAATCCCATCCATCTTGTTACTCTTATGGTGTAAGGAAATAAGACTGATCTATGGCAGTGTTATACTCTGACACTTCCCATCTTAGAATTGTACAGGCAGCGGGAGACAAGACACCATCATCCATATACAGTAGAAAGTACACTGCTCTCTTTGGACACGTGAACCCATAACCTGGCTGTAGCCTAATTTACACCTCCCACTAAGAGCATCAGAATTATGTCATTACCTAGAATCCACTGTTGAACTTTAATCCCAAGTAATATGTGTGAAATATCTTATTATTATTACCCATCCATTTTCTAACCACTCCAATTAATTCAGTGTTTCTGGGGAGCCAGAGCCTGTCCCAGCAAGCAATGGGCGCAAGGCAGGATACACCTTGGACAGGATGCCAGTCCATATAACCAAGGTCCTGACTCTCTGTGGTCATTAAAAATCCCAGGGCGTTTCTCGAAAAGAGTAGGGGTGCAACCCAGACGTCCTGGCCAAATTTCCCATTGGCCCTTACCAATCATGGCCTCCTAATAATCCCCATCTCTGAACTGGCTTCATTACTCTACTCTCCTCCCCACTAATAGCTGATGTGTGGTGAGCGTTCTGGCACACTATGGCTGCCGTTGCATCATCCAGGTGGATGCTGCACATTGGTGGTGGTGGAGGAGAGTCCCCATTACCTGTAAAGCGCTTTGAGTGGAGTGTCCAGAAAAGCGCTATATAAGTGTAAGCAATTATTATTATATAGTATTATTGTTCTTGTTAAACAGTCTCCGGATATATAACTTACTGTATGTTTGGAAAGAAAAGATGTAAAGTACAGTATATTGAAGACCTTTAAGAACTGGGAGACAAAAAAGGAGAGAACTGCATAGAAAATTGTGGGTTTCAGTGAATTGCAGGACTACTGGAAGTTAAGAGAGGAAACTCCAAGAGGTGAACAACAGGCATCAACGTCATTACAAAAAAGACAGCAATGAAGAGTAATGCCATTGAGATAGAAAGGATGGCAGAGACTATAATTACATTTGCAATTAAATACAGACTCCACAGAACACAGACTTGTTGTTAATGCATTACTTTCTTCCAGAATAAGCCCGAGAATCAGAGAATCAACTTGGAGTGACCCTAGTGGAGTGCAGAATTTGACATCAGATACACTTTGGACGGTCAGGTACTTTGTCAAAAAATCTGGGTACTCTTCTCAAGCAGTTTATTTTAGACTCATGTCAGAAATATTACAAGGGTGTCCTTCTATCTCCTGTGTCATAGATCTAATGATGACCTATTCTGTTTCAGTTAGATTCTGGGATGGTGGTACACACCTTCATTTTCTCTACATTAGACTACTGACTACTGTGTTTGTGTTTGCTGTTTGTTTTCTACCACTTCTAAGTGAAACCTTACCAGATTTTTAAATGTTCAAAACAGTGTCCTAAAGATTTATTTCAAAAGCCTCACCCTGACCTATAAAGTTCTTAACTATTGGAAAGCCTTGTATCTCAGAGACTTGCTGAGCTTGCTGAGGTCTACCTCAGCAGCTCTGCTCTTTAAATTCTGGTTTATTGTGTGTCTTGAATGAAGTGATCACAGGCTTATTCAGTGTAAACTGAATTTGAGGGATTGAGGGAGCAACACTGGTGAAAAGAATGAAAATGATCTTGTTTTCCTAAGAAATAAAGCTTTTCTGTTTTATTTAGAACAAGTTAAATAGGATAAATTAAAAAGTACAATGACCCCCAAATTAAAAACAATAATACTAAGCAGTAAGGACATTAGATCATTCAGCTGTAAATTTGTAAGAGATACAACTGAAGACAAGTGAAGCATGAAGAAAACCATACAAAGACTAATGATCAGAAAAATACACATATTCTTGCAATTAGGCAGAAAGATGGGACCACAGTCAGAAACTGAGAACTGATTGTCTAAAGAGTTGAAGAATGTTCTGAGAAATTATAGATTGATGACAGTGCCAACAAAGACAATGTAAACAGAGACTGAACTCTGATTACACACAAGGTATCAGACGTTCTCCCAGAGGAAGAGAAACATGCTGTCAAGCACATGGAGAATTGAAAGGCACCTGGATGTGTTGGCATGTCAGTTGATATTATCAAAAGAAGGTGGAAACGGTCTTTTAAAATTATTGGCATTGCAAAACTATAGCAAGAAAGCAGTTGAAGAGGACTTCAGACATTACAGCCTGATGAGCTCACTGCCTGTAATCTACAAGACTTCCAAAATGGTGCTCACAAACAGTCTTGAGAGAAAACTGGTTGTAATTACATTTGCACCAAACCTAAAAGAACTGCAATTACAGCTTCAATTCCAGGAACTTTATACATCACCAGCATCAAAGCAGGCCTGATAATAAACTGAGAGAAAACAGTGATGTTTCTTTGTGTGTCCTCTGATTTGTGTTTCACTCTTTATTGTGATGAAGTCACCTGGATTGACTTTGTCAATTCCTATGAGCATTCTGAATACATTTACTGCATATGGTCCCCTATAGTATTCTCTGTACAAGACCAAAAAGATTCCATTCCTCCAGAAACAGGTTAAAAGGATTAGCTACCCTCTGATAGGGAGAAATTAGGTGTGATCTCTCTGGTAGACAGAACCACTTCAGCAAATGGTGCAGTCTTAATGAAACTCATTAAGGTTTAGACATACAGTAAAGAGGAAACTAATTATTCTATCAGGTTGTGGGACATACAGTATTAGAGAAAACAAGGAGTTTTATTACACTGGGTTATGGCTAAGGATAATGTAGATCATTAATAGAAATCAGAAAGTGTAGTGGTCTTAGTAGAGATCTGTGTGATACTCCATTAATTCTATCACCTCAATTTAAGCATTCACACCTTATCTGTACTCTGTACTCTCAAACCAAATACTACATGTAAGATGACTTTTCATCATCTCTTTAGAACTTCCACTTCTGAAAATCTAAGGCCAAATGAAACAGTATGTTCCATATTCATATCCATTACTGTTGTTGCTTGTTCATAGAATTGTAATAAGTTGGTTATACAAGACCCACCTTTTCTAAATTCCTACTGACTATGCCCTAGGATTTTATTGTCATATAAGTGATTCTAAAATTCGGTTCTAATAACTGTTTCCATAACCTTACATGTAATAGAAGTCAGACTTACTTGTCTATAATAACTTGGTGCAATTTTCTCACCCTTCTTATGAAACACTACATTAGAAATTCTCCAGTCTGTGGGTACTACCCCTGTCTTGAGCAACTGTTGGAAGAGTTGTGTCAATGTCTTCTAAATAACTTCTCTCCTTTCTTTAAGTACAATTCTAAAACAGCATTGAGATCCCAAAATACTTCAACCTTTTCAATACTAATACTGTACTAGATAATACAAAAACTTTGTCCTACTGCTGCCAGAGGCAATTCATCAACCATATGAGATACAGCTTTGTTCAGCAACTGTCAGAAGATCTGCAATCTCATTCTATTATCTGAAGTCATATAAAAGCTTTCAATAAAGTGTCTTGCAGGAGAAAAGTTGTTATTTAAATTTATGATTATCCTATTGTAAGTCATGATTTTGATAGTACCAAATGACCCAATGAATATAATTTTGACAATTAATAACAAGTAACAACACTTAGGCTGTGCTCTGCACATTTTAATTTAAAAGGTAAATCACATGATTCAGCCATTATTCAGTAGTTTCAATATTATGTGTTTGCATGATCTGCATGGTGGCAATCCTGTATAACTGTAAGTGCTATGACTTGGTTCCTCTCTTTTAAATTTTGTGCTGCAGTCTCCGTTTTATTAAACAATTC